ACTTGAATTAGACATTTGTGTGGACACAAGTAGTGATGTCTTCGTGAGTGTTGTCTTCACATTCTTCTGGATGTCATCGAGTGATAGGTTTGTATGGATTGTGACAAACCATGTCTTCAATTGTCACTAATGGAAGTGTCTATCAAATCAGTCTTTTGCTGACCTATGAGTCGATTGTCGAGTCGTTTGTGTCCACACTATTGCCCCCAAAGAAGTCATTTAAATGTCATTACAATGAATACCACAAAAGTTTCACAACTCAAAGCCGATTGGATGCACACAAAGGCCGCAGACATGCCGTACAAGACATCACTCCTCGGGATCCGATTGTTAGCTCAACCGATGCCAGAGACCAGTCGACAACAGCCGCAGATAACGGTCAACAACAGTCAATGGCCACAACTTCTGTCCCAGTGGTGGTGAACCTACCGGTGCCGAGAATGGCAACCACTACCAGCCCCGGGAGTCAATCGTTAGATAATATTAGCGATGAGTTTGTGTTTTGTTTTAATCGTTATTTTAATCAATGAATTGATTTTTGTTTATCTGATGTTTCGCTTAATATCTAGAGATTTGGACACTTATATGGATATCGCGGACACAATACCGACGGTAAACACCGGCCAAACACTGCCGCCGATACTCAACACTTCATTGATAGACAACAAGCCGTGCCTTAAGTACTGTTTGAATCACAACTTAATTAAAAAATACCACTTAATTAACACTTATTTTTATAACAATTAGTTTTACGGCAAATACTGGTCACACGTCCGCCGATAACCCGCTGCCAACTACCGGCCAAACTGTCATTGATTTGCCGCCAACTCATGTGTGCCGTATCGACGGCTGTGGCCTCGAGTTTACCATTGAATACACGCTAATCGCACACCAGAGGGCTGTCCACAAGACAACGGCTGAAGACATTCACTTCGAGTACGACATGAGTGGTGTCGGCGGCGGTATTGATAGCGCCGTTAGTTTACGGTCCGGTCGTAAACCCCGTAAACGTAAACCCAAAACGTTTTATAAGTGCAGCGAATGTTTGCAAAGGTTTGCCACAAAACCCGACCTCAAGAACCACTGGCGGAACAAAACGGTTCACTCGGCCGGCGGTTCGGCGACGGCTACTGTCGACCACCGGTTGGCCGAGCGATTCAAACGGCACGGCTGTCCGCACGACGGCTGCGACCAATCATTTGCCACTAAAATGGCGCTTAAAGTGCACCGACGGTACGGCCATTGGGCCAGCGATAAGCAGTACGGGTGCGACGGCTGTACCAAATCATATAACACCAAACATAGGCTTGACGAGCATCGGCTGACTGTCCACTCATTTATGGCCACTACAGCAGCCAATGATAGACCGGTAGAGACCACGACTGTACTACCGGTGCAGTCAATCACTGCCACCACTCATTTAAACAACAGGTTTATTATAGCTATTTATTTAAGCCATTAATTGATTGTGTATTTACTCTATATGTACAGTAAGTCTGACTCTGATCTCAAAGTGATGGATGTGTTGCCGGCGCCCAAACCCACCGCCCATACAGTGCCTATGCATCAGATTGCTGGACACAAATCAAACCCGATATTCAATGAGTAATTGCTGTCAAATAATAATTAATATACAATAAATTTATTTATATTTTTTGCCCAACAATTAGTCTCTCAGATATAAGTAGTGATGAAAACAGTTGTCACGAAATGGACGACAATCTGCCAAAAGTTGCCGCCAAAAGTCCGTCGGGCGCATCCGTGCGGCCAAACGTTTGATACCGTAGACCAATGGGCGGACCCTATGCTTGACTTTTGTCTGCCTGTGCCGTGAGTTAAGGACGACTTTTGTGAACATTATTTCTAAAAGCATTGATTTTAATGTGTTTTTCAAAACTAAAAATTTTTATTACGAATTGTTTGTCTAAATCTTTTTTCATTGGTATTTAAATATTAACATTATTTATATAATACTTAAAGAATTAACTTTTGATTTTAAAAATTGGAAATATTTTGTATAATATTGTGATTTGTTTTTGTATAAATGTTTTGATAATTAGTTTGTTTAAATCACATATTTATTGTAATAATTCGTAACAATTATTATGACTGCATTTATAATTTTTAAATGTCTTATAATGAGTTTATTTAAATGAGATTTCAATTGTTTTGTTGCAATCATTCAAATGACAACAATTGTAATTACTTTTCGATGTGTTTGTAATTTAAATGTGATTTCAATTCTGATTTCGTAACAAAGCGTTGATTACAGTTATTATGAATACATTTATGAAGTCTTATATTCACATGACGTTTCATATGTCGTGATAAACTGGATTTTGTGCGAAAACATTTGGTGCAATCGTTAAAATGACAAACAAATGATTTTTCTCCCGAATGAATGCGTTTGTGTTCAATTAGATTGTGTTTTGTTTTTAATTTTTTGCCACAATTTTCTTCATTACATTTGAATTTTCTTTCATTCAAATGAACACAACTTTTGTGGAGAAATAACTTTTGTTTTGATGTAAATCTTTTGTGGCATTCATTGAAATCACAAATAAATCTCACATTTAAATGAATGTTATTTTTGTGTCGAATTAAATTTGATTTTCGATTATAACTTTCTTCACAATTATTAAAATCACATTTAAATTGTTTTAATTCTGAATGAATTAATTGGTGTTCAGTTAAACATTGTTTAATTGTTGTATTGAATTGACATTTAGGCCAAAAACAGTTAAAGACTTTATTGGAATTCAAATGAAATGATTGCACATGGTAATCTAAACACTGTTTTGATGCAAAACTTTTGTGACATTCATTAAATTTACAAACAATTCTAAAATTAAAATGCACTCTCTTTTTATGTTCAGTTAAATGTATAAATCGTTTGTAACTTTTGGGGCATTCATTAAAATCACATTTAAATTGTTTTATTTCTGAATGAATTAATTGATGTGAACTTATATTTTCTTTTGTTCGTGTTTTGTATTGACATTTAGGCCAAAAACAGTGGAAATAATCATCAGATTTAGTAATGATATGACAATTGGTTAGCATTTTATCACTGATTTTACATGAATT